TTGCTAGGTATGACAAATTTATTGAACACGAACATTAAGTTGTCGTCATCAAAGGCTGAGTCTTCGTTATCTTCAACATTCTGTCAGAGTGTAAAATGATATTTCTTGTAGATGGTATTCACACAGATCAAAAATGTCACTTGAGAAAATGAGGTTAGTACGGACATAAGATAGATAACAAATTTCTGTTTGGTCAACATCATTTTCCAGCACAGCTTTAAACAAACACTGCCGTTTTCGTTCAGTCGCCTCCGGCTAGCATTTTCTTAATGAAACGTCAAAAAATGTCACTTGAAAATGTAAACTTAGAACGAACAGAAGCTAGCACAACTTCAAACTAGCACGGCCGTTTTCAAAGACATCGCCTGCCACAAAGATGCTTTTTTTTAATTTTTTTATACTCCTAACGCTGTTTATTATTGGCAACCATACATTCGGTGGTTTGACTTCTACGAATATAATTCCAAGTCCTTCTTAGAGAGAAATACACCTTTATTTCTCCAATTTTGTTGTAATATTTCCTTTTAGCTTGGTTATTTCTTAATTATGCACAAATGTGTCAAAAACTAACTTTTTGTGCAAATTATAACGCAATAGGGCTGTTTGCGGCAAACAAGGCCTACAGCGATACCTATTGGTAATGAAATTATCATGCCCAAACTATCACGCTGCCATAACCATGTTTGGCCGTCAGTTTTAAATTCTCTTTTTTCAATTTAGCCAATCATAAAACCNTCATCAAAAACAGACTTTTTCTGCAATTTATAACGCAACAGGGCTATTTGCCGCAATCAAGACCTACAACAGCACCTACTGGCAATGAAATTATCATGCAAAAACTATCACGCTGTCACAAAGATGCTTGACCTTCTTCCTAAATTTTATTTTTTACTCCTAACGCTGTTTATTGGCAACCAGACATTCGGTGGTTTGACCTCTACGTATATAATTCCAAGTCCGTCTTAGAGAGAAATACACTTTTATTTCTCCAATTTTGTTGTAATATTTCCTTTGGACTTGGTTATTTCTTAATTATGCACAAATGTGTCATCAAAAACAGACTTTTTCTGCAACTTATAACACAACAGGGCTTAATAAAAAAGTTTACTCACTAAATTACAATCATTAGATATATCTAATTGTAAGATTTTTTCCCCTCTGCGGCTTCACCTCTACTAACAACAAGTTAATTCCTACTATATTTTTAGATTGGTAACAAAGCCAAAATGGAAAGATATTAGGAATCTGTACAAAGTACCAATAAACTTAAAGGTCTGAACACCATTATTGTTTTGTTGTCTTTCACTTGGACCAAAGGTTCAACTTCATTGCCGCGTCAAAAAATGAAATTACACTTCATCATCTGAAGCTCTGTGGAATTCTTTCGAATTCCTGCTTGGAATTTTCTGGAAAGGTGCAGATTCAAGAAAGAAACTTTAACATAATGGCTCTCGGTAGTTTGTCAGACTTATCATACTACTGTTATACTTGGCGGGACACTATACGAATCAAACTGACCTGAAACACTATTATGGAGTAAAAACTCCAAAAATTGTTGTATGCAGAGAGTATTTTATTGTTTGCTAGGTATGACAAATTTATTGAACACGAACATTAAGTTGTCGTCATCAAAGGTTGAGTCTTCGTTATCTTCAACATTCTGTCAGAGTGCAAAATGATATTTCTTGTAGATGGTATTCACACAGATCAAAAAATGTCACTTGAAAAAATTAGGTTAGTACGGACATAAGATAGATAACAAATTTCTGTTTGGTCAACATCATTTTCCAGCACAGCTTTAAACAAACACGGCCGTTTTCGTTTAGTCGCCTCCGGCTAGCATTTTTTTAATGAAACGTCAAAAAATGTCACTTGAAAATGTAAACTTAAAACGGACAGAAGCCAGCACAACTTCAAACTAGCACGGCCGTTTTCGAAGACATCGGCTGCCACAAAGATGCTTTTTTTTAAATTTTTTTATACTCCTAACGCTGTTTATTATTGGCAACCATACATTCGGTGGTTTGACTTCTACGAATATAATTCCAAGTCCTTCTTAGATATAAATAGACTTTTATTTCTCCAATTTTGTTGTAATATTTCCTTTTAGCTTGGTTATTTCTTAATTATGCACAGATGTGTCAAAAACTAACTTTTTCTGCAACTTATAACGCAATAGGGCTGTTTGCGGCAAACAAGGCCTACACCGACACCTATTCGTAATGAAATTATCATGCCCAAACTATAGCGCTGCCATAACCATGTTTGGCCGTCAGTTTTAAATTCTCTTTTTTTCAATTTAGCCAATCATAAAACCGTCGAAGCCAATAATATTAAATTCGGACTCTTCAAATAATCTTACCTCGTTCGAAAACTTGGAGCTCTTTGAAACATGCTTAAAGTCGGCCATGACAATTGTAGTGGCTAAATTATTCTTATTCTTCCTGAATCTTGGTAACCAGTACTGGAAGTGTAGTCGCATCTTGCAACACTCCAAACGTTGCAGCCGGTAATGCTCAACAGCGTTGTAGTAGTGATAACACAAGAAGTCGATACGATTGCAAGTCAACATTTTTCATTTTGCGGTAGGATGACTTCCGTTAAATTGATATGCAATTGATCTGCTTCCGAAGAATTTTCTTGTTGCTATCAGTCGAAGATGGTAGTTACTTCATTTGTTCTTCTTCGTTCTTAATAATAAGCGCTTTATTGTTTACTATGTTTACAATATTTTCTCCTGTAATATAATACATGTATACATCCTCTGCTCCTTGCCCCAATCACCTCTCTCATCCATCTCTTCTCCCCACCCCTTTGCCCTCTAGTGCATCACCTCCTCGCTCAACTCGCTACACCCTCTCAGCATGTATTCCAGTGTCTCCCAATCCTCTCCCTACAGCCTACACCACCTCTCCACATCGTCAGTCCTCCCTCTCTTTTCATTGCCACAGCGGAATGTGGCCACCACTCTGTAATTCCTCGTCTCCTTCCATCAACAGATACTTTGGCAGTTCCTCTGTCATCTTCCTTCCCGTATCTGTGACCTTCTCACGTGCCTCTGTATGTTCCTATCCCTAAGTTTTCTCTTCACTCTTCTATTGCCGATCCCAGTTATACTCTCCTATAACATCCTTCCCTATCTCCTTGCCCATATATCAACGTCCTCTCCTTGATTTCTTTTGATTTTGTTTTAAATCTTATTAATCGTTTTGTATTTGTACCAAAAATTTTGATTTGCTCTATATATACTTTTAAAAATTCTTGTATAAATACGAAATGTTCAAGTAGTTTATTTTGTTTTATCGGCGGAAACCACTTCACTATAAATTACCAAACCCAAGCTATCACGCTGCCATAACCATGTTTTTCCGTCAGTTTGTCCTCTCCTTGATTTCTCTCCAGCACTCTCCCAGGATCCTACAATACGGCCTTCCTTCTATCCTTTCCTCGTATTTCACTGCCCTTCTCCCAGCCTCCACCTATACATCATTGCGCTCCTTACCAAACCCTCAAACATAACCTTTCTTTTTCCCACATACCTCCCAAAAGTTTTTTCTCCCCATTCCCAAATCTTTGCTCTTTTTGCCATAGCCCTCATGTACGACCCTCCGAGAATCCATATCCCATTTATACTCTTTGACTTCTTCTATCTCTCTTCCCTTCCACCTCCATTCCTCCCTCTTTCTTCTCCCCCTTTTGCAGAACTTCATGATCTTTGCCTTCTCGACGTTTATCTCCAACCCCTTTGCTTTAAAATATCTCTTCATCGACCTTATCATCGCGTTCATCTTCACCGCCTCTCTTGCCACGACCACCAAATCATCCGCATACTCCAGCGTGTACACATTCTGATCACATTTTTTGCTATTGGACTCTACTGGTCCAAATCTCAGTAAAATCGCCTTGCTGGTATATTCTTCTTAAAACCCATTTTTTTTACTCCTAACGCTGTTTATTATTGGCAACTAGAGATATTTCAAGTCTTTCTTAGAGAGAAATTAGGAACATTTTCTCAAATAGTATTAGAATTTCCGATAGACATCCGCAAATAATTCTCTGATAAAAATGTATTCGGTAGCTTATTGATTCTAAGCGCAAATGTAGAACTGCAGATATCAAATACAACGTGTCAGAATCGTTTAAACTAAAAACAGAATTTCTAAGAATTGCTCCTCAACTCTGCAATTAAGGTATTGTCGATATATAGAAGCATCACGCATCGATACAAAGTATAACTCCAATTTGTTTGCTTTATTGGTTATAATCGTTTACATTTGAGGTTTTCCAGCGGAGTAATAGCGATGACAGCTCTTATCTCCTGTCTATGTTAGTATACTCGGCAACTATTTTGATATCAGTTGCAAATAAGTCAATTTAAAATTATTTTTAAATTTTGGACGGAATAGTCTTGCACGATTCTTATTATAACGTAAAACCATACAAACATATGCTACATTTCCATTCGTTTAGCATTTTCAAATTAATATTTATATGTCAAGATTATGTGTATCCAATACATCTTGAAGTTCTATTCATCAAAGTCATGATTTTGAGTTAGCATCATCATTTGAAGCAGTATTTATTAATAAACGCAAACAATTTATACATTTTATTAAATGTCCATGATGAGCAGAAACATATATAATTTACAAAATCTGATAAAATCATTTTTGAGCTATTAAATTGTGATCTGGTAGCTTTGTACGTTCATAAAATGTTATTTGGCATGCCATTTGTCTTAACATGAAGAAATTGGATATGTTTATTATATCACACCTACTACATAATTGATAAAAATGATTTCATTCTTAATATTAAAATTTTAATCCATTAATTAACACGAAATTATTTTTCTTATCGTTTCTTGAGGTATTTCCATGAAATGCTTCACTTTAAAAATAAAAAAGTTATCGCAAAAATTTGTTAACAATGACTCATATCTCTCTATTTATAAAATTCCTTGCTGTCGTTAACTTAAAATTATTTCTTTTTGTTTTCAGCAGCAAAAATTTTTAAAACGCTGCATAGATGACCAAGATCCAGGCGGGGGGCCTGACGAGCCCCCCGTTAAACTCCAATGTACCACCCAACATCCACAAGATGGAGCCCTCACCAAATTCTCGGTTGAAATCGTACAACAATTGGAGTTCACGACGTCTTCGGCGAATTCCCAACCCCAGCAGATCTCCACTAACGTCACCGTTAAAGCACACACGAACACCTCGGTTAAAAGCGACGTTGCCAGTCCCAAATCGAATCCTGATACGCCGTGTTCGAAGAACAACACGGTCGACGTAACCAATTTGGCGGAGTGCGTCAAACAAGAACCGGATTACGATTTTGCAGATTTAGATCAATGCGCGGCGGCGCTCGAAAAAGACGGCGTCGTAAATGGGGTCGGTTTCGGCGGTTTCGGAGATATTATGGGTGATGATGCTGGGGATGAAATTATGTCTTCGGACGCGTTAAAAGATCTGATCACCGATATAACGAATCATCCGGAATTTTTGAAAGAATTCGATTTCGATGATAAATCTGAATTGGTAGCGAACGGTTTGAAAGTGGAAGATTTGAAAGATGTGAATCCGAGCGGTAACCTTGGCGAGGCGGTGAAAAATTTAAATAGTCCATTAAGTCAAAATTATTCACCGCCGATTTTCGAAAGTAAATCAAGAATGCCATCTTATCCGAATATGGATTTCACAAAAACCGAACTCAGTCCGGCCGCTCAAACGTTAAAACAAATGGCCGAACAACACCAACAACAGCACAAAAACCAAATGGGCATTAACTTTAATCCTAAAACACCAACTTCCCGCTCTCCGTATCCCGATTTTCCATTAAGCGATTACGGAAGTCCGAATTCTTCGAGTTTCCATAAAAATAGTCCCGGTTTTCCACAACCGGATACGATGATCAAACAAGAGATGCTCTTCCAGAACAACGAGTACGATAACATGAAGAGAAAAGGTGCCGGAATGTACAAACAACAGTATTCACCGTATGGGAGTCCTAGTGCTAATCATGGAAGTCCTGGATATCTTCCTGGAAGGGGAAACACTGGTAATACTAATGGAGGGAATAATTTCGGAGCAGGAACGCCGCCTACGCCACCTTCCGGGGCTGCGGGGGGAACTACAACAACGTTGCTAATTAATCAAGCTCAACAATTACATATTAGTCAACAGAGTTATGGAGGACAGAGTATACAAGTAAGTTTTTTTTATTGTATATATTTTTTTTGGTTTCTCTCAAATCGTTTGTGAAACCTTAAATATATTCGAATTTGCCGATCTCTGTATTGGAATCGATGGTCTGGAAAATTAAGTCACTCAAACGTTATATTTTGGATTCTATCGCAATAAAAATATGTCTTAAATATAGGCACTGTTATCTATGTATGTAATAATTTTTATTTAGTTACAATTTAAAACCCGCAACTGGATTCGGGTAATGCTAAGAACTTGACTTCTCTTAGTCCGCTTTAAGCCTAAATAGACAAAACGAACACGAAACCAGGCGGTCGGTGCAGCTCAAAGTAACATCGGATGCTAAATCGAAAACATGTAATCAATCGCTAAACGGAAACAAAAAATTAAATTATGGAGTGCTTGGTTCAGCTACTTAATAAAAGATAGCGCTTGTACGAAATAATAAAATTTAAAAACTTGGATTATCAACTTATACATAAATGTAAATAGTAAAATATTTCAGAATACTATTATTGGTCTTCTAAACTGTAAATTTAAGAATATTTCGGATTAAGTATTTTGAATTGCCCAATTAGGTTTTGGTGCTAAATTTGGTACTGGCAGACTGAAAGAAAGAGCTAGGATGCAGGAACCTGAAAACAATGAAGATATAGCTGCATTAATGATAAATCCAAAAATTAATTTGGGAAACAATCAACTAACAAGAGATCTGGTAACTAGAGAGAGATACATGGTAACATTGAAGAAGTCAAAAAGATACCCGAATTTAGATAAACGGGAAAATGCAAAAAAACTCAAAAATTGCTGTCATCTACAGCAGCGAATCGCAATGATTGGGCCAAAAAGTGGGTCTCATAATATGATAGTAATGTGTATTATCATCGATCACAAGTGCCGATGTTTCTACTTTGCAACAATGAGAATAAAAATAACCGTTAAGATGATTTGTTACCTCCAACAAGATTCGCTCTGATATCTCACGTTTCCAATATTATATTCTGAGAATGAGTAAGCATTATTTGATTATGTTCTAACGAAGAATCTTCAACACACTGAGTTCAAAGCTCTCGACGATACAACTGAACTTTGTTTATAAATATCAAGATAAATTCGAGATATCTAGTTAGCCATGCATTTCTTCCAAAAAACAGGAAGCTCATTAAATTGAGTTCATGAAACTGCAATTTTTTCCCTATTTAATCGTCTCTCTATCTCCGCTAGTTTTCAAGATTTCTATACTCTACATGGAAAAAAACTCACCCTGTATATTAATTTCGACTTTACGTGTGTACAAGAAGATAATATTGATTTACTACAATGTGTTGTATGTGGAACTGTATTAGCAAACTCATCTATAAAATCTAATAAACTTTTAAGACATTTACAAACAAATCATGTTGACTACAAAGATAGACCACTAAAATTTTTAAAAGAAAACTTAAAGAATTGAACGCAATAAAATCAAGTTTGACGAAATATGTTGGAACAGATAAGAAATACTTGGAACATTTTTATTAAGTAACATTGCATATTACTAAGAGCAAAAATGCGTGTAATATAGGAGAAGTACTAGTAAAATCATATTTCAAAGAAGTTTGTCGAGAAATGTTTGGAGAAGAATATGCTGTGCAAATTAATAATATGCCTACGTCTGTTGAAACAGTAAGCAGACGAGTACTTCACATTTCAAATAACCTGGAATTACAACTAATTGATAAATTGGAAGATCCACCATATTATGTCTTACAGTTATTGATAGCATACGTAAGATGTATTGATTTTGAATTGGAGGACATGAAAGAAGAATTATTATGCACCTTAAAACTACAATCCTACACTACATCTTACGAAGTTTTTGATGCCATAAATTCATAGATTGAGTCTAAAAACATTCCTTGGAATAAATGTACGGATAGTTACCCAAATTGGGCAATTATCGCATAAAAATATAATAAAAACTGCATTCTTCGACGTGAACAATTGGTATCTAAAAATATAAACAAAAAATTAGACACAGTTTTAGATCGCTGTGTGAAAATAGTAAACCATATTCGTAATAGCGCAATTCGGACTCGAGTTTTCGCTTTATTATGAGAAAAGATAGGCTATCTTTCGAGGGGGAAGGTACTGAAAAGACTTTTTGACTGAAGAAAATGACCAAAATTTACTACTAAGCAGAACAGTTCAAAAAGAACACATGGCTTGCAAAAGTTGCGTACCTTACTGATATTTTTCATCTTTCAATAGAATGTTTGCTACAATTTCCAACAACATAGTTAGCAAAAAGTGGCTTTTTAGTTCTCGCTGCAATTAAAAATAGAAAGCATAGGATGTATAAACTGGTGAAAAGAGATGCAGTAACATAAAAGCCACCGATCTTAGAAGAAATGCTTATCTCAAAATTAATAATACTGTTATTGTTTGTACTATTTAACTGAAATGCATAAATATTATATTTAATAATACACTCAGCGGCATAAAAAACGGATCACCTAAAATGATGAGCAGTTTCAATAACTTTTGAACGAATTGCTCGATTTGAACAAAGTTTTTTTATTTGAAAGGTCTACCCTTTGCCAATATTTCTGTAGGTGCCTTCCCCATTTTGACGCTCTTCAATTTCAGCAATGGTGAATAATGCTAATGTATGTTTTCTGCCTACACTTTGAAGCTTGCGGTGTGGTGCACAGACAAAAGAAATTAATTTTAAACATAAGGAGCTTGTAGTCTGTTTTGATCACTTCTGTTTTTTATTCAAGTTTCTATATTTGTTACAAGCTCTAAAGTATAACGCAGAAAAGATAACATCAGAAATGAAAGCAAGCCATGGAAATTGAAAAAATATTTCATTGACGTTTAGTGTCGTTAACGTCGTTGACTAATGCTAGAAAAGAAAAATGCCTTTAAGTCTTGCAGAAGTTGCTCAGGCAGTGGCTTTGGTGATAAATGGACGCAGCACTTGTTCATGTCGAGCAATACGTTCAAAAGTTATTGCAGTTTCAAACTGGTTATCATTTTAGGTGATGTGCTTTTAACTTCTTATGGGTCACATTAAGATTTTATTGATATTTTTGTGCCGCCACTTAAAAAAGTTTGCGGAACGCTGATCTATAGTATCAAGTTTAGTCGTTATGCGTAATGTTGTGATTTCAAACGTTGTACAATGGCCAATTTGTAAATTTGCTGACCTGAAAACTGTACTTAGGAAGATTTTTAGGAAGTTGTATTATTGGAGGTAATTTAATAGTATAGAAGTGCAACAAATTCAAACCCCCCATGACTTAGTGAGGTTGCATTGTTTGGATAACAATTTGTGACAATTTTATAAACTTATCCACATTGTTATTATTATCCACATTAAGTACTGACATTCCAGCAGGTACAATGAAGAAAATGATAAAATTCTGTGTGTGAAATATGTTCCTAGATACTCCTCTTGATATCCTAGACCATACAATAAAGAGATAACTCATCATTGCAAACTACAGCCACACTCGTTTACTCGAAAAGCGTGAATTAAAGCGTTATGTTCCAATTGATCAATTGTGTTATGGGCATCAACGTGATCAATGCTTGTTGGATATATAAAATACTTATTTAGTATAGGTAGTTCTCCATGGTTTTCATCTTCCTAAATTTGGACTCTTCCTTTTTCTTTATTTTGAATTTTTTTTTTCTGGCATTATCTAAATTCTGCCGAATGTTTTTAACGTTTTGGGTCCTTTTGGGCATGTTACTTTTGCCGATTTCCTACTTTTCCATTATTTTAGATTTATTGTTTTTGACTCTTTTCTTGCATATTTCAGGCTTCTTCTTTTTATCTGATATTGTCTTAATTTCTGATTAGTTAGACTTCCTCCATCTCCTGGCTTTTATTTCTAGTTCTTTCAAGCTAAGATCTTAGCTATCTACAAAGCTTATCAAAGCTCCCAATTTAGAGAAGATGACTAGTTTATATCGACTTCACACAGCGCAAAGGCAATTTTCCGCATTATGTGTAACCTTCTTCAAAAGAAATTTAGAATTCAAGAATTATCAATTTTACCCATAAATAGTAAAATGTTTCACAATACTATTGGTCTTAATTCTAAACGGCTCATTTAAGAATATCTCAGTTACGATTAAGTATTTTGAATTGACCAATTAGGTTTTGGTGCTACATTTGTTACTGGCAGACTAAGAAGAAAGAGCTAGGAGGCAGGAACCTGAAAACAGTGAAGAAGATGTAGTTGCATTCAAGATAAATGTAAAAATTAATTCGGGATCAACAAGATGTCACATGAGGAAGTCAAAAGGATGCTCGAATTCATATAAACTATAGAAAATTCAAAAATTGCTGTCATCTATAGTATCAAGTTCAGTCGTTGTGCGTAATGTTGTGGTTTCAAACATTGTATAATGGCTAATTAGTAAATTTGCTGATCTGAAAACTGTACTTAGGAGAATTTTGTAGGAACTTGTAATATTATTGGAGGTAGTTTGTTATAGTATAGAAGTGGTGGAACAAATTCCATGGTCTTCACCTTTCTAGATTCGGACTCCTCCTTTTTCTTTATTTTAAATTTTTTCTGGCATCTAAATTCTGCCGTAGGTTTTTAGCGTTTTTGTTTTTGGGTCCATTTGGGCTTGTTTCTAGATTCTTCCCTATATAGCACATCTTGCATATTTCAGACTTCTTTCTTTTTATCTGATATCGTCTTAATCTCTACTTAGTTAGACTTCCTCCGTCTCCTCGTTCCGAGTTCCTAGTTTTTTTAAGCTAAGATATTAGCTGCCCACAAAGCTTATCAAAGCTCCCAATTGAAAGAATATAACGTTATGGCGACTTCACGGAGCGCAAATTCAATTTTCTGCTTTCTGTGCACCTTCTTCAAAACAAATTTCAAATTTATCTTTTCGTTTTAAACCTTTATTAATTAATATATAAATTAAGAAACTTGCAATCTTTTAGTTAATTACAAGAAATTAATTAATTTATATTTTGAAATATTTTCTCTTTA